AGAGTAAATTATATAAAAGGTCCCCAGTTATAGGTCGTTTTACATATTTAGTCCCTACATATCAAATATTACTAATTTAGTCCCCAATTATTATATTTATTTCCACGAATGGTCCTTTGTTAACATTTCCGTTAAGAACGTGGATAAAATTGTATATTCATACTTCTCTCTCTCCTCAATTAAGCTTTCTTCATCTTCTCATACTCTTTCCCAAACTCGTCGCTGAGTTTGAAGCTCTTAAACCCAAAATTTAAATGATCGTTCCTCCAGTTAGACAAACAATTGAGAGAAGAGTGATGATTTTGGTTTAGGGTTCAAAGCTAGAAACTCAGCGACGGGTTTGAGAAAGGAGTACAAGGGAGGAGAAAGCTTAATTGAGGAGACAAAGGAGTGTGAATTTATAATTTTATCCACGTTTTAATGAAAATGTTAACAAAGGACCATTCGTAGAAATAAATATAATAATTGGGGACCAAATTAGTAATATTTGATATGTAGGGACTAAATATGTAAAACGACCTATAACTGGGGACCTTTTATGGAATTTACTCTAGTAAAAAGGAATAGAGGAGGCACCTGCTCTCTCAAGAACACAATATCTTGCTAAAAAGGGCACATATAAATACTTCATTATTCATTAATTTTGAATTTTTTATTTGTCTTTACTTTCTTTTGTTCAATTTTATCAATGTTGGCAATTTTTATCTTAGATGCTTAAAGTTCAGAGTTGAGCAATAAGAATTTGGATGATTGTTTGGACAAATTGCCCCAATGAACTTCACACAAGATGTTGTTTCTTCCTTTCAAGGACATACGTCGTTAGTGGTTTATGTTTTCTTTTGACTACTAATCAAAGTCAAAGCTAAACATATATGTTAGATAATTTATAAATAATTTGGTATTCATTCTTGGTTAACTTTATGTGAAAAATACTAAAATAGGAGTAAAATATTGAAAATATACCAAAAAATTAGTTCTATGTTTTTATTCTCAAAATAGGAGTTAAAATTCATTTACAATGTCAATCATGACTAGTATACTACCAAAAAGTATTGTGAAATATTCTTATACAATGTCACAATATCATAGTGCGAACTCTTAATTTTGGTATTTTTTTCTACGTTTTACTTCTATTTAGAGGGATTCCTTTAACCTCATGTTGTTTTTTCGCGAATGAAATTATAAAAGTATAATTAAAGTCCATGGAGTATTAGTTTTAGATGCCACAAGTAGTCATTGCAACTTTACAAAATAATTATATATCTTGAACTTTTTGAAATATTTCTAATTTAAATAACACTTTGAAATTTTTATTTCCGAATTAATAGAGTAGAATTTTTATTAGAAAATCCTATACGTTACATAATTCCTTTAATTTTTAATATCTCTTTTTTCTTTTATTCAATTTTTAAACAATGCTCTAGTAAAAAAATTTATAGAATCAAAACATATATTTCGATTCTATCCCGTGCATTGCACAGATTAAAATATTAGTAATAATAAAAAATTATAAGTACTCCCACCCTCCAATTTTGAGAAAAGATTACAATTAGAATAAAGTATTGAAAATAAATCAAAATAAAAGTTTCTTATTTTATTTTAAAAATAGAAGAAATGCATATTTAATGTTGGGTGATGCACAAGACAAAAGAGGAAAAAGGAAACTGAATCTTCAAAGGATTCGGTTTAATTGGGTTATTTCTTGTTATGGAAGTTTTAGAGTTTTAGTAGGAATAAAAATTTACTTCTATGGTTTCACCCTCTCTTATATAAAGAGTGTCCTCTCTTTGCATTGGACACAACCACATAATATACATTTTTCTTTTTCGATATTATTTTCTAATATACAGTGTCAATCATAACCATTTACATTATAAAAAAATATTGTGAAATGTTAATATATAATGCTATACTATCACATTGCAAACACCTATTTTGGGGAAAAAAATATGGGATGTATTTTGGTATTTTCTTGATGTTTTACTCATATTTAGAGTCATTTATTAATTTTATTTATTTTTTATTTGAAGGAACGTGCAAAATCTTATCTCATTTAAAATATTTTTATTTACACATTAGTATACAATTATAAGTGCAATTCACACGGTTAAAAACTATAAAAAACATTTAAAAGTAAGAGGTGACAAGAATATTTTATTTTATCAAATGATCATTGAAAAGATGCATATAAGCAAAAGTTAGCTGTGACGAATGAAGTATTAAGATATGTATTTACTCAAAGTAGCCTCCATTTCATACACAAAATTAGTTTTTTGATAGCACAAAAATATATAGATTTAGAATTAAATTATAATTTCAAATTTTATATTTCTATAAAAGATTTGGACCCAACAATTTGAATTCTACATAGTACGTAGTACATACTAAAAAGAAATCACGTGAATTCTCTTTAGATCATACCAAAGAAAAGATCTTATAGTCTTTAGGTGTGTTTGAAAAATAGTTTTTGGCTTGTTGTTTCTTTGACGGATCAAATAAGCCAAATTAAAAATTAACTTAAAACTTATAATTAAAAATTAAGAATTTAAAGTTTAAAAATAAAAAATGTAAACTTAAATTTTATATTAAAACTCTACAAAATTACAACTTAAAATCTAAAATTTAGATTTAAAATTCCAAAATAAAAATTATTTATTAAAAACATGGAATGAGTAAATGACACTCAATCAATAGACAATGATTAAACGTAGAATGACAATCAATCAATAAAGAATGCAAACACAATATTTGATAAATATTGTTTCAGAGTATTTGTAACTTTTGATTTTTTCTATTCAAAATTAGTAAACTTTGACTCTAAATTATATAAAAATGATATTCAATATTGATATAAAAATAATTTATTATAATAATATTTTTAAAATATTAGTATTTTATTTAATTAATACGGAATAAAATATAGGGAGTATATTTTATTTAATTATGTTAGAACCAGGCAGGTGCGGTCCAATCTGCGCCAGAGCCATGCACGCTCTACAGTCTACATCGTGCTTAATCTCTGAAACAATTTTTTTCTGTTAGAGCAAAAAGAAAAATAAAAAAATGATTTGAAGGGGGCGAAGAAAGGGGAAGAACATGAGGTTGTGGTAAACAACTCAAAACTCCAATCGAATTGAATGAGAGCAGAGCAATTCCTCCCATTCAATGAATATGTCTTCTCACACATCCTCATCCCACCAATCCACTCCCTCTCTGATTCACAACAACCCCTCTCCTTCTCCCCATCTCCGTCCTCACTCCGCCGCGACATTGGCGGCGTTTCTCGTGATTTCTCCAAGAGTCCGCCGCTCCTTTGATGGCGGACATCGTCAAGCACATCCTCGCGAGGCCCATTCAGTTGGCGGACCAGGTGGTGAAGAATGCCGACGGCGTCTGCTCCTTCCGGGGCGAGTGCCTCGAGATTAAGGCCAAGACGGAGAAGCTCCTCGGACTCCTCCGCCAGGCGGCGCGTGCCAGCAGCGATCTGTACGAGCGCCCCACGCGCCGCATCATCGACGACACCGAGCAGGTCCTCGACAAGGCGCTCACGCTCATCTTCAAGTGCCGCGCCAGCGGTTTGAGTAAGGTGTTCACCATCATCCCCGCCGCCGCCTTCCGGAAAACCTCCCAGCAGCTCGAGAATTCCATCGGCGACGTCTCCTGGCTCCTCCGCGTCTCCACCCCGGCCGACGACCGCGACGACGAGTACCTCGGTCTCCCCCCGATCGCCGCCAACGAGCCGATCCTCTGCCTCATCTGGGAACAGGTCGCGATCCTCTGCTCCGGATCCTTGGAGGAACGCTCCGACGCGGCGGCGTCGCTCGTCTCCCTGGCCCGCGACAACGACCGCTACGGGAAGCTGATCATCGAGGAAGGCGGCGTCCCGCCGCTCCTGAAACTGGCCAAGGAAGGACGGTTAGAGGGCCAGGAAAACGCGTGCCGAGCCATCGGACTCCTGGGCCGCGATCCGGAGAGCGTCGAACACATTTGCCACGCCGGTGTCTGCCAGGTGTTTGCGAAAATTCTCAAAGGAGGACACATGAAGGTCCAAGTTGTGGTGGCTTGGGCAATCTCAGAATTCGCCGCGATTCATCCCAAATCCCAAGACCATTTCGCCCAAACCAACACAATCCCTCTCTTGGTTAGCCATCTTGCTTTCGAGACAATCCAAGAACACAGCAAGTATTTGATCGCCAGCAAGCAGCAGGGGATGTCCATCCACACCGTCGTGATGGCCAATTCCGGCTCCTCATCTTCCGCTTCAACCAATAACCCTTACGAGGACAAGAAGAAAAACTCTCACCATGGCCAAGTCACTCACCCAATGGCACACGAGAGAAGCACAGAAATGCACAATGTGGTGACCGACACAATGGCTGCCAAAGCCAAAAACCACAAGGGAGTAAACCAGCGGCCGAAGCATCCTCAGCCGCAGCAGCAAGTGGCCTTCCCCGGGAACAGCATCAAGGGGAGGGAATACGAGTCTCCGGAGACAAAAGCAGAGATGAAGGCCATGTCCGCCAGATCACTCAGGCATCTCTGCGCTGGAAACGTTAGCATTTGCAGAAGCATAACAGAGTCAAAGGCACTCCTCTGTTTCGCTGTTTTGTTAGAAAAGGGGATGGAGGACGTCAGGTATCACTCCGCAATGGCTTTGCTGGAAATCACGGCGGTGGCAGAGCAGAATTCGGACTTGCGCCGCTCGGCTTTCAAGCCCACCGCACCCGCCGCCAAGGCGGTGGTGGACCAGTTACTGAGAATCATAACCAAAGCCGATGATTCCGACCTCTTGATTCCCAGCATAGCTTCCATTGGGAACCTAGCCAGGACATTTCGAGCATCTGAGACCCGGACCATTGCTCCTCTGGTGTCTCTGCTCGACGAACGCGAGCCAGAGATCATCAGAGAAGCAACGATCGCGCTCAACAAGTTCACGTTGACAGAAAACTTCCTCCATGTCAACCACTGCAAAGCCATCATCCAACAAGGGGGAGCCAAGCACTTGGTCCCCCTCATTTACTTCGGCGAACAGATGGTCCAAATCCCCGCCATAACTCTGCTGTCTTATATCGCGATGAGCGTTCCAGACAGCGAGGAGTTGGCCCAGGAAGACGCGTTCATAGTTTTCGAGTGGTCGACGAAGCAGGCACACTTGATGCAGGACCCTAGAGTTGTAGCACTTGTGTCTGAAGGGAGAAAGAGTTTGGAACTTTATCAGTCTAGAGGATCAAGAGGGTATTGAGTCTTAACACACACACACACATCCATATGTATGTATAGGTTTTGTATGTATGTATGCGTTGGTTCCCATAGAGTTGGGCTGAGCTCAATGTTTTGTATTGGGAGCAGACTTGGTTGTTCTTTGTTGGGAAGTACTAGCAAGAGAACACATTTTGAATCGCCGGTAAATATTGAGAATTACCCCCTAACACTATGTTTGGTTCAAGGAATTCGAAAAGAAAAGAAAAGAAAATGACTTTCCCTCATTTTCCTCACTAAAATGGAAGGAATTTGATTTTCTCTCCTCTTTGTACATTTTGCCTTCTTATTTTCTTTTCCTTCCACTTTTCTTTTCTTTTCCTCTCTAACCAAACAAGAAAAATGTTTTCTTTCTCATTTTCTTTTCCTTTCCTTCTCAAATTCCTTTAACCAAACATAGTGTAAGCGTTTTCATGAAGGTTTTTGAGGATGTGTGTGTGAAATGTGTTGGACACTATGATCCATCTTTGAGACTTTTTTTGTCTAACATAACCTTTTTAAAATCACATGTTCACTTCTTTTGAAAATAAAGATCATGCTCTTTTTAATTTATTCTTGCTATTCTCTTATTGTTATTAGAATCATGTCAGAATACATTAGATCACATTAAAAATGAATTTAAATATAATAAATATAACTTGAATTAGATGAGATCAAATCGGATCAGATCAGATTTATTCTAATCATACAAAGAGAACATCTCACTCAATAAGAGTAAAATATACTCCGTCCGTCTCTTCCCAATTACTATTCACACGATCAAACTTTAATCACTTTCTTTACCTATTTTCGTTAGTTGTTTCATAAAATAATAAAGTCTTATTTTGCAGAACTTTTGATGTAGTTTTAAATATATAAATTTTATTTTTTAAGTTTATACTTACAATCGAATAAATTGAATTGAAAATAAAGTCAGTTAAACTTCGTATACTGAATGAAAAAAACATTTTAAGACGGGGAGAATAACTTTATCTCCAAATAAAAGCTCTTCTTGAGCAATTTTCGGATGGTATTTTTTGACCAAGGCACTCCTTTCGAGCATCCTTGTTGTTTGTGACATCTACATCCTCATAGAGGAGTGTGTGGCCTACTCATCCTCAGAGGAAGGTTAGTATTGTCGCTGATAATATTCATTCCTCGAGCTCGGATTCAGACATCAACTAACAATACCACTATTGTGTGCCCGAATTCCAGAAAAAACTAGAAAACTAAATAACGCTATCACCTTTCATCTTCTTTTTCAAGGAGAAGTTGAGTATAACTACAATTAATATTTTAGTGTCTTCAAAACAAACATGATGTGTAATTAAAATGAACAAATGTTGTTTTTCAATGAATGTGAATATTATGTTACTTCAACAGTGTTTATAATTGAAATAAACAAATATTTTGATTTGTTTTAAAATGAATAAATGCGTGAAAATAGAAAACTTGTAAGATAGTATTTGAGAACTAGAATTTATTTGAAACTTTAAATTTCAGTTCCAATATTTGAAATTCGATAATTTAAATTCTAAATGTTGTTTGGAAGTTATAGAATTTGAATTTTGAACGAAAGCGGGTTAAATTTGAATTTTGAATGAAAGTATATGAAATTATTATTATATAAGGAGAGATCACTCTTTAATTATATATGTTCAACTTATTTTTTTTGATCTGCTCTGATTTTTTGTAGTTCTCATATGATCTGATCTGATCGGATCTGATCTGGGATCTGATCTGCTCTGATCTGATTGGATCTGATCTGATCTAATTTGATTACATCTGGTCTGATTTGATCTGGTCTGATTTGATTAATTATGATTTGATTTAAAATTCAAATCAATAATTTGACTTAATAATAACTTTTGAAAATCGTAATGATAATTCATATTATAATATAATCAATATTTTTATTTTATGATTATCTTTTAATGAAATAAAATTAGTTAATTCATATATTAGAATAATCATTCATATTATAATGTAATAATATTTTTTATTTTATGATTATTTTTTTATAAAATAAGAATATTGATTTAATATTTTAATAATTAGTTCATATATACACTAGAATACATATTTAATTCATATATACATTAAAAAGTATTTAAATTTAGATAATCAATATAGAGAAGAGATAGTATTTTTATTAAAATATCTTATCCTTTCAGTTACACTAAAATATACTCCATATATGAATATCAAATGTTAATTTTATTTAAGTCATGATCTAAGTTGATCAACTCGATATAGTAAAAGATTAAAATTTTAAAAACTCAAATTACAGATAGCAGCAAAAATAATGTATTTTAAAAGTAAAATTAGATTAACGTTATCAATGTATTTTAAAAATAATTTTTTGATGTCTAATAATTAAGGATTCTTTTTCATTTTTCTATTTAACTTGTTTCTAAAGTTTATTCTTTTTCATTTTAAGAATAATAATAATAATAATAATAATAATAATAATAATAATAATAATAATAATTGATTGGATCTGATCTGATTAGATTTGATATGATATGATCTGATTAGATCTGATCTTATTTTAATAAGAATAAGAAAAAAACAGAAAAAATAACTTGAATGAAATGGGGCCTAAATTATACACTAAAGAAAAATTGTGCTTGAATTTAAAAATGACATCTAGAAAGGTGCAATTTTGTTGGGTGGGGTTCCCATGACATTGAGTTCCAATGTCATGGGATGAACCGGGAGTGCTCCGTTACCCCGTTCGTAAAATTGACGGTTCCTACCCCCTAATCCCTCGGTAAACCCCCCACCCCGCCCCAACCAGAACACCCCCTACCCCTTCAATTGAACCCCACAAATTGATTTTTACTTTGAAGTCAAAATTTGACTCCAAAGTCAAAATCAACTTGTGGGGTTCAATTGACGGGGTTTGGGGGTGTATTCGGGTCAGGGCGGGGTGGAGGGTTTACCGGGGGTTAGAGGGGTAGGAAACGTCAATTTTACGAACGGGGCAACGGAGCACCCCGGGTCATCCCATGACATTGGGTTCCAATGTCATGGGAATCTTAGTTTTGTAATTGAGTTAATTTTAAATTAGAAAAATTTAATCTAAATCTAAATTCTTAGAATTTCCAAATAAGTAAATTGAATTAAGTTATATTGGAAATCTAAATTCAAGTTTCCAAATATCCTTGAGCATACTATAAATAAATTGTCGAGTGAAAATGAAACTTTTTTTAAATCAAGAAAGTGAAAATGACTAACCCTAGGTACGGGTAGACGTTCTCCTCACACGGCCGTCGGAGATTGCCTGGCTGCCATTTCCCCCCCGATCCAAGGCTCTACCACTCCCAAAACGATATTCCTCACAAGTATATACTGAGAAATGAGAATCTGCGATACAGGAGAAATGGAGAGAGATTAATCGCGAGGGAGGGGATGAAGTGCATGATTCTGGTGTGATCATCAATTCAGGTGAGGGAAAGATAAGAGCGTTGTTTGGTTGGTTTAAAAATGAAGTTCATAGGCAACTTTCCGTCCATGGATCTGATGCGCTCGGAGAAGATGACCATGGTGCAGCTCATCATCCCCGTCGAGTCAGCTCACCGCGCCATCACTTACCTCGGCCAGCTCGGCCTTCTCCAATTTCGCGATGTACTCTGCCCCTCCTTGTGCATTCTATATCTGTATATGCCTGTCATCTGAGTACGCTTGTACATACATATATATTCATGCCTAATTTTCTGTTGCTTAACGATTTCTGTTTCATCCACATTTGATTGATCTGTTTCATTTTTTGGTTAATTGGGCAGACTTTCTCCATGTTAGATTGCCTTTTGTGCAATGTATGTATGTAAGTATGTATGTATGTAGGTAGGTAGGTAGGTAGGTAGGTATGTATGTATGTATGTGTGTATGTGTGTATGTGTGTATGTGTGTATGTGTGTATGTGTGCGATATGAAGTTACATTGGCACCTCGCATTGCTGCCTTACAAACTATGTTTGTTTCCAACCTTTTTTCACAGTTCATACTTATCGCTCCTCTAGGAAGCATCTACTAGATGTCATGCCAGCTCTTTTAAGTTCTAACCAACATAATTCGATCTGCCATATTAGACAAAAAAGTATTCAATGCAACAACAACAACCCAGACCCCAAGAGAATAGGGTCGAGGGTGAGGGGGTGCGCACACCTTATCCCTACTCGAAAGTAGGGAGGTTGTTTCCAAGAGACCCCAGCTCAGGTACCACCGGATGACTAACAAACTAGTAATCAATAAAGCAATTTAAATGATGTCATGCATAGCCAATATCATATTTCCTAGATTTTGAATTGATATCATAACTTGAAATGAAATTGTCCGGTTACACTTATTACCTTCTTGCTGGCAGAGTAGTTTGAGTTCATTATAGCACAACACAGCCGCACAGGTCACTGGTAGCTGCTACACAAGTTGCGAGAGTATGCGATGATATGTGTGGAAATAATGAAATATTCATCATTGATACATTTTCTTCCCGATTAGTGAGAATATGCAGGCATAAAGTTCAACTGTGTTGCTTCACCTGACTGTTTCCAATTAAACAATTTGAATTTTGAACTATGGGCAACCATTGTACTTAAAATTTGGGACAGTTGTCTCTAGGCCTGCCTCCTACAAAAAAATTGATGGACCAGTGGTTCAAGGCCTTCACATATAATCATACTACCTGTAGTTGAAAAGCTGAATGTTTGGTTTGATGCTTTATCTTTTTGGGAATTTTTCTCAATTTATACAACGGCGACACTAAGCCTATCCCAAGTAACGTGTGGTCGGCTACGTGAACAAGGAGTCCACGTTCAGTCATTAACAAGAATGCTATTTCACCATTTTTCTCAATTTATATACGAGAAAATGCATTCACCCTGTATCTCTTTTATATTGACAGTTAAATGCAGACAAAAGTCCTTTCCAGCGAACTTTTGTTAATCAGGTATCTATGAAGAATATTTCACTATTCAGAGCATATAACAAATTTCAGATACTCCGTCCGTTTTACAATAGAGTTCCTGCCTTTTTTGGTTATTTCATATTACTTGTCCACACTCCTTTTTCTGGGAAAAAAACATCTAGTAAACACACCCCCGACCCCCCAAAAAAATTCTTTCTTCCATCCACTTTTTTCTCTCTCACCCCACCTTTATACCTTTTCTTAAAGCAAAGTATGTGCCAACAGAAGTATGACCAGTATTGTGAAATGGAGTAGGACATATCTACTGCCATTCACATTTATTGCAATTTGTAAACTAAAAAATACAGAAAATCATTTTTGGACATGTGAATTTCTTTTCCTGTATATGTAAGAAATGGAAAGAGAAATTTCTTCAATATTTAGGGATGGGTGGCTAACTTTCAACAGAGCAAACTAGCTCACATACATGGACATTATTCGTGGTTATAATGTTTGCATACAATGCCTGTGAGGATAATATTTTTCTACTTTGCACTTGGGGATTGTCTTTACGGTGGTTATACTTCTTACACAGCTAGTACTTTGAATTTTCACAGGTAAAAAGATGTGCAGAAATGTCGCGAAAGCTACATTTTTTTAAAGACCAGATACATAAAGCTGGTCTATTTCCTTCACCCAATCCTGCTTCTCTACCAGATATAGAATTAGAAGAATTGGAGGTTTTTTTGGCAGCGCTTTATAGCTTTTGACAAGTGAACACCCTTTTTTTCCTGACCTCACAAAAGCTAAATATGCTGTTGATGTCTTTGGATTTAGGTTCAACTTGCAGAGCATGAGCATGAGCTGACTGAAATGAACGCCAACAGCGAGAAATTGCGGCAATCATATACTGAGCTGTTAGAATTTAACTTGATACTGCAGAAGGTACAACAACATTTTATTCTGACTTCAAAGTTCAAACATACTCCAGCTAGAATTTGAGTTGATATTGCAGAAGGAGTTGATACTGCAGGAGTATGTGAATCCTGTAAACTCTTGGTACTACAGTTTACAGTTAACCTGATATTAACTTCAATATTGGCACTGGCTCTTTAAACCTCATTAAACCTAGCACTTTTGCACAGAATGATATAATTATTTTGCACCTACCTCCATAAACCATTCAGATTGAAAAATCAAACACCTCATGATTGCTAACCCTATGATCCTCCTTATATTTAGTTGCCTCCTGAACTGGGTCTGTGCTTCATCCCATGTTTGTACCTAGTAATTTAAATGAATATTGTAGGCTACCTTGAATTGCAGTTGTAGGACCATGTAAGTGGCTACATGCTCTTTTGTACTTCAATTGATGTACTTAAGCATCATTTTGGAACATTCCAGGCTGGAGAGTTTCTTACTCAAAGTCATGTGTCAGATGAGGAAATCGAATTAGATGAACATATCCATGCCAATAGTGATTATGCTGATGCGGCATCACTACTTGAGCAGGTGATTTATCTCTTCCTGCAATTAAAATGTTATGTGCATGATGAAGATTCTAGTGATTCTAATTACTTGGAGAACCAAATTTTGAACCTTTCATATCTCCAGGAACTGCAACCGGAGCTGTCAAGCCAGTCTGGAATAAGCTTTATTAGTGGTATTATCTGCAAGTCCAAAGCTCTTAGATTCGAAAGGATGCTATTTCGTGCAACAAGGGGAAACATGCTTTTTAATCAGGCAGTTGCTGAGGATAAAATCATGGACCTTACTTCAAATGAAATGGTTATATTCTTGTCCTCAGTTTCTTTTCACAATTAAATCTGTGCACCTTTAGTTTTTTGAGGACATATTGCTTTCAAATACAGTGATAAGATCTTTGCTTTAAATTTAATTCTTCAAAAGGAATTTATATATTATGTAAATCTTGCATCAACAGTATATTTTTGCATATCTCGTTCAATCAACTGCTTTTAATCAATTCTGAACAACAAATAACTTTTTAAGTTTGATCTAATTAGTTCATAGATTTGTCTTTTCAGGTTGAAAAAATAGTATTTGTAGTATTCTTTTTGGGTGAGCAAGCAAGGACCAAAATATTGAAAATATGTGACACATTTGGTGCTAGTTGCTATCCTATCCCTGAAGATGCCATAAAGCGGAGACAAATAACTCAAGAAGTATGTTTACAAAGGAGATCATTTATGCACTTAGCAGTTCTAAGACCCATCTTTTTTTCCAATTGTTTGCTAGAATATATGCTATGTTCTAGGTTTTCTCAACCCTCTTATTATATTACAGTCAAAATGTTGTCCCCCCTTCTCATACTAGGCAACAGGTTCTAAAGGCAAATACTTAGTAAAATGTGAGTGTGTGTTCTCTCTTTTCATTTACAAGGGTCGACTTAAATAATTACAATTTTTTAATTTGTAAATGAGCTAATAAATTTGAATATACTGTATATGTCTATCAACCACATAAAGTGTCTCTATGTTAAATGCATAAAAATAAAATTTATAATCAGAAGAAAATAATTAATAAAGAAAGATTCAGACCTATTAAATGATACACACTCACAATAAGATTTGTTTTGCTCTCTTTCAAGGCTAGCACTGTAGTTGAAGTCCTCTATGCTCTAAGATATTTTGTTCTTAGATGAACATGCCTCCTGCAGTTATGAGCACTAACCCAAATGTATATATAATGTGATTTGATGTGCATGGAGTTTCGTCTCGAGGTTACTTCATTTGTGGATAAAGGGAGAAAATTTAACTTCTTAAATTGCAGGTTTTGTCACGATTAACTGAACTTGAAACCACCTTGGATGCTGGATTACGCCATAGAGATATGGCTTTGACCACTATCGGATTTCAGTTGACAAAGTGGGTGAACAGGGTATGCAGGATGATTTTCAGATTAGAGGCAGTATTTTATTTGCTTGCCTGTGTAAATGCGATACCATCAATCTTATGTTAGTGCAGAAAATGAGTCAAAGTTTTATTTATATATATTTTCTAGGTTCAAAGGGAAAAAGCTGTCTACGACACTTTAAATATGTTGAGTTTTGATGTTACCAAGAAATGTCTTGTTGGCGAGGGCTGGTGTCCAATATTTGCAAAGACCAAGGTAATTTTCTGAACTGCTATTGTTTGTCGGTAAGGCAAGCAGTTTTATTTTTCGTAGCTCACGAGGGAAATCCTTGTGGAAATATAGATTCAAGAGACTTTGCAGCGCTCTACACTTGATAGCAAATCACAAGCAGACATAATATTTCATGCAATGGATGCTAATGAGTCATTCCCAACTTTCTTCAGAACTAACCGTTTTACAAATGCATTCCAAGAAATCGTTGATGCATATGGGTAAGTTAACAAACATAGCACTGCATCACATTTCTTTTAATTTGTACAGTGGATGTGTATTCCAGGGTTAATTTTCTTGGCCTAAATTTTATTTATTTATGGTCAAATACACCATCAGAAGCAGCACCTTATTCACAAAAGAATTGGGTTAGTGGCTTGAAATATATAGTGCCAAGTACACCATTCTTAGATACAACGTTTTTTTTACTTCCTATTTTACATTTCTATTAAAAAAAGATTCATGTTGTCTCTAACATCTGTCCACTTTGGTCCTTATTAAAAGTTTGGGCACCGGTTACCACTTGTGGTCATGGATTCCTGGGGTTAAGCCCTTGAAGCTTCCTCCAAGAAAATGAATGTCATTTTGTGTGAATCATCTCTCAATGTAACAAATGAACCTTGTGATATAACGCGTTTGTGTTAGACACTTCTAAAGTTTTTGGGTAAAACTTAAAAGTTAAAATAGACCTTCACACACAATTGTGCTTCTCTAATTTCAAGTACGGGTAAGGTATGCACACACTCACCCCTGATTCTGCTATTTGTGGTATTCTACTGGTCTTGCTGTACACAAAATTGTATATGTTTTTTATACATTTCACATCGACAAAAGTATATTCCCTCCATCCTAGTGTTTTTGTGAAGCTTGACTTTTTCAGTCAAAATGAACAAACTTTGATAATCAATTAAATAAAAATTACATTGCATATTAATACAATGACGTGATTTTTTTTACCTTTTGCTTGATAAATCTAATATAATTATTTTTTGTTAACATGCAATGTGGCTTTTATTTAATTGATGATCAAAATTCTCTAGTTTGAGCGGAAAAAGTCAAATTGGGCGAGTACACGGACATAGAACCACGGAGGTAGTATTTTCTTATTTTATTACTTATTCTTGCAGAGTTGCGAAATACCAGGAGGTGAACCCTTCTGTTTATACAATCATTACATTCCCTTTCTTGTTTGGTATGATGTTTGGGGACTGGGGCCATGGAATTTGTTTGCTATCAGCAGCCTTATTTCTTATAGCTCAAGAAAATAAACTTGGTTCTCAGGTATGTCTTCTTAAGTATGTTTAGCACTTCAGCTACTGGTATCATTTGCAGCATTTGCTCTACTGAATTTGTAAATTTGGAATATACTCTTTCCCTCTGTCTCAAAATGAAGTTTACACTTTTTTTTGTCCCAAAATAAACTTTATGATTCTCTTGTTTCTTTAAATATGTAGATCATAACATTTCTCTCTTCTAAATATGTTCCAGCTACAAATTTTTTAATTTTTCAACCCTTATCTTAATTTCAATGAATTCAAAGGGTAAACTTAATTGCAGGACTGAGGGAGTATTACATATATTTGTATGTTTACACATGTGTGTATGAATTATGATATCCTAATTAGTTGCCTTTGTTGGCAGAAACTAGGAAGCTTTATGGAAATGCTATTTAGTGGTCGCTATGTGCTGCTCTTAATGTCAATATTTTCAATTTACTGTGGATTGATATACAATGAGTTTTTCTCTGTCCCCTTCCACATATTTGGGAAGTCAGCATACAAATGCCGAGATGCTACATGCAGGTATGCTATAATTCATCTGCTAATGTAAACTTCAACTTGTTTGTGTCATCAATTCTCCAAATTCAGAAAGGGAAGACCACCCTCACTTCCCTCTCCAATTTCGATTTTCCATGTACATTTTTTAACCATCATTTAGTCCTATTCATTTTCCAATTTGAAAAAAAACTTGAGCATTTAGGAACATCTGGAGAAAGGTTGGTGAATAGTGCCTTTTTTAAAACAGAAATGCACACTTCATATTCACCCTCAACAAAGTTAGATACAAAGGCAGAGATCAGATCCTTCTACTTTATACTCTATAAAACATTTACTATGAAACAAAATATAATTGATAGTCTCCTCTTCTTTGAACTTCTTTTGATGTATATGCCCATTTCCAGCTCTCCAAATCCCATAGCTACAAGCTGCCCAAACTGTCAATATAATGAATCTGGTTCTCCTATTTTTACTCTGTATAATCTCATCTCCCACTTCTGAAAAGTCCCTTTCCTGGATCTTAATCTGGTTCCTGCCCACACAGACTATATGCAGTATTAATATTTAGGAATTTACTTGAGGGTAAGTTAGTTTGTAGCTTCTCTTTCATTATCATCCAAAAAATAACTTGGAACTTTGGCGGGGTAAGTTTGTTCCATACAAAGTCTTTCCATTTAGGCACATCTTTCACCCCCTTGCAGCCACTCATAATGATGCTGAATATTATAAGTATTGTCTATTGGCATGTCTTGAAAATTTTTCCTTTGACCATTTCTCTCCAATAATGCCTTCATTTTCCAATTTAACAAAGTCATGTTTTTTAAAATACTAAACTCTTTTCCATGTTTACTTCTTAGCTTTTTGGAATACAAGCATTTTGCAGAATTACTAATTGGACCCTGATTTCTCCTCTATTTAGGGCATGTGGTTATTTACAATGTACATTTGCCTTGACAGTGATGCACGCACTGTTGGTTTAATGAAATATAGAGACCCTTATCCATTTGGCGTGGACCCAAGTTGGCGAGGTAGCCGTTCAGAACTGCCTTTCTTGAACTCTCTTAAGATGAAGATGTCTATTTTATTTGGTGTGGCACAAATGAACCTGGGCATTATTTTAACTTACTTCAATGCCCGCTTCTTCAGCAAATCGCTTGATGTGAAGTACGTGTTTATTTTCTACTTTCCTTCTCCATCACCTTTATCCTTTTTAATTGATTCCTCTTATCAAGAGGTGACATTTATCGTGTGAAATGTTTAACAGGCATCAATTTGTTCCACAGATGATTTTCCTGAACAGTCTTTTTGGATATCTTTCACTTCTCATTATTGTCAAATGGTGCACTGGTTCGCAAGCAGATCTCTACCATGTTATGATATACATGTTCCTTAGTCCCTTTGGTGATCTTGGCGAAAATAAATTGTTTAGGGGGCAGAATGTGCTTCAGGTCAAGGCCATTCATGTCTTCCTTACCTTGGAATATTTTACTTCTTCTGTATTTGATTAAGAATACATCGCTGCAGGTCATATTGTTGCTTTTAGCCGTTGTTGCTGTTCCCTGGATGCTCTTTCCGAAGCCATTTATTTTGAAGAGACTCCACATGGAGGTATTGCATCTTTCCTCAGCTTTCACAAGTACGTGGTAAAAGGAAGTACAAATGAAATAAAACAAAAACAAGTTATTTAACTTTGGGGGTGAGATTTCAAGCTCCATGTCTTGGTTTGATCAATGATGCAAATCCTAATATAATATCCTTGTCAAGTAAATGTGTTTTGCATCCTTAGAGAATATTGCTATTGGTTCCTTGTCAAGTAAATGTGTTTTTGTCCTTAGAGAATATTTCTATTGGTTCCCAGTAACCCTGTACAGTATGACAGTTAATGATTTATAATTGTGATGAGCTTGTGCTATACAATTTTTAGAGATTTCAAGGTCGTACATACCGGATCCTTGGAACCTCTGAGATGGATAATGAAGAGGAACCTGATTCTGCCAGGGAACATAAAGAGGAGTTTAATTTCAGTGAGGTTTTTGTGCATCAAATGATACACTCGATTGAGTTTGTCCTTGGTGCTGTGTCTAATACAGCTTCATATCTACGGTTATGGGCTTTGAGGTTTGTGGACCATGCATTTTAAGTATTATTATTGTTGATCATAAATGATGATTTTTCAACAAATCAGAATTATATATTATTGATACATCCTACTTTTGAATTGTTGATGCAGTTTGGCTCACTCGGAACTATCTACTGTGTTGTATGAGAAAGCTCTACTCTTTTTTTGGGGGTAAGCTCCGACATGCTTTTATCGGAAAAAACATCCTTACCTCTATCTTGAGGGAATCGATTTACATTATATACCCCATACCCAAAAAAAAGAGATAACTCCTATTTGCAAGCTTAATTTTACCCCACAAAAAGAGTGAAGTTAATTTTCATAGTATTTGATGTACTTACTAAACAAAGTGTCCCGACCAAGTATGTAAACTTTAGTTAAACCAAAAAAAATAAATTAAAACGTTACTCCCTCTGTCTTAACATTTTCTTCCCGCTATGATTTGGCACACTTGTTCAGAAATGATATTGTGTAACTGGTGTGTTTAGAACTAATAGACAATATCAAACACACAAATCTTTCCTTGAAAGAAAATATAACAAAGCATTATCCCAATAGGTGGGGTCGGCTACATGGATCAAATGATGGCATTGCGCCCTATCATGTACGATATCTGCAGCGAGATGATTCACGCGAAGGTTTTCCTTGACCACTTCATGCCAAATCTTCTTAGGTCTACCTCTTCCTCTAGCCACACGTCTATTCATTATTTGAGTAATCCTTCTCACGGGATGCTCTATTGGTTATCTCTCCACATGTCCATGTCACCTAAGACGAGTTTCCACCCAAAATGAAAGTGTGAAGTCGGAGGGGGTAGTTAGAATTTGGTGTTGGATAGGTATACCTTGCCTAAATTAAAAGGGTGTTTGTTGATGAAATATGACTCTTTATGGGACAAAGTTAGTATATGCGGAGGCTGTTGTGGGGCAATGCACCAACAAATGGGCACTCAACCCATCCATATCTCTATATATAGTGTGTGTGTGGGTGTGTGGCCATGTGCATGAACTTGTCGTGTTCAATTGTTATTTTAGGTATGATAACCTCATTGCGCGACTGATGGGGATGTCGCTCTTTGCCTTTGGGACAGTTGGGATACTACTCATGATGGAAACTCTCAGTGCTTTTCTCCATGCTTTACGTCTTCATTGGGTGGAATTCCAGAACAAGTTTTATCACGGCGACGGCTACAAGTTCAAGCCATTCTCCTTTGAGTCGCTAGCGCATGATGACAGTTGCTAATACACAACACCCACTATAAGGTAACTGAACACTACTTCACAGTACCCAATTTTGGTTGCCTTGAAAATTCCCCATCCTTTATGGGTCAGAATTATTGTTTTTTATAGTTAGTATTACAAAGGAACATGAGCATGGGTGATAGAGCTGTTTATAGATGGTAAAACTGTATACTTTTCTCGTATACGCCTTTCGATCCATCTTCTCCTCTAATCGGAGGAGATTGAGACAATTGTAAATGAGTTTTTTGTGCTTCCATTTTGTTTTTATATAGGCAGCAGATGGTAGAATTGTGAATTTGATACCCTGTAATGTGGTTCAATTATACGAAATACATTGATTGGAAAAGTTTATTTAAAAATTAAATCTATGTTGGAGTTCAACAAACAAGTTGAACTATGGCTTTGTAAAAATTGTTTTATTTTTTTATTGATATTCATAGGTATTTAAATATTTATTGGTAATCTGTAATGAGATGATCAATTGGGACTGTTTTTGAAATATTAAATTTTTGTTTTTGACTTATGTGGTCTATTAGTGACTTTTTTTTTTCATTTTCCAATTAACTGCTAAGTAATTCTTGAAGTATTTCAAACCTCCCTATCTAATTTTGAGAAAACTGATTTCCCATTTTTGAACATGCCATACTGAGGTCCAGGTTGCAGTCCTTTCGCTATGGCTCTATCCGGGTGAAATGTACTCCTTTTCTACCAACGTAAACCGTGCACCGGTGAGGCGTGAACCTGGATGTCCACCAGCACTCTCCGAGCACATACGGGGAAACAATATACTCTTTCTATTTCACAATAACTGTGTGTCTATTAAGATTTATTTGATACATTAGCTTTTAAATGAATGTAGACATAAGTCTACATTCAAAAAAAATCCTAATTTATCTAATAATCTTTAATACTCCGTATATAGTTATTATGGAATGTAACATCAGACTCCGCCCTCCTCACCTCGACATCAGACTGAGAAGGATACATGTGTTGAAGATAACGAGCCGACGAGTCTCTTTTCTCTCCCTCCCTCACTCCACACCCCAGCCTTCTTCTTCCTTTTTCCCTTTCTCTTGTGTGACTTTGAAGGTTGGCGTGACCGGGAAGAGAGACCACACCGTTCAACCTTGAAACAATCAATAGTTTAATTGGGATAACTTTATATTATGTGTGAGAAGGAGACCCCTTTTTCCCCTCTTCGTTTTTCTACTTCTTTACTTTTTATTTTTTGGATTATTTCCTTCCTTCATCCCTCTCCTTCCTCACACCCTCACCTTCTCTCTTTTGCATGGCCACAATGGTACCCTTCCTTGCCTCTTCTCCTTTCCCTTCACACGATATGCCACACCCTTAGCCCCCCCCCCAGTGTGCGGGAAGGCTAAGTTGGCACAACGGAATGGAGGGAAACACCGCACTTCCTGTGCGGGAATGGGAAAAGCGGGGCCCCTCCCCGATTTTCCCATCTAATTTTTCTGTGTTTTTTTTTTTGTTTTCGTCTCTTTGGCTTCTTCCTTCCTCCCTTTTTGTGTGTTGCTTTTTTCTTTTATCTTTTTTGTTGCTTCTTTTCCTTTTTTATTTTTAGCTTTTAATTGTTTTTCATTTCTAATTTTGATTTTTTGAATTTTGTTGTTTAGCTTTTGTAAGTTTGTATGATTTAATTGTATTTTATATAGTTAGTTTAATTATTTTAATTAAATTAAGTATTTAAAAATAATACTCCGTAGTAATAATTGAATGTGAAAAGGGGAAGGTATTTCTCTAGCTAGGAGTAGAAGGAAAGAGAAAGGAAAAGTGAAAGGAGACGTGACACTGAGTTAGAAGAAGGGGAGAGGAGAATTACACCTTATGGCCTTAGGTCGTGCCGTATGCTTCCCTATTTCCCACTCTTCTCATTTCCATAGCTACATTAGTTTTCTCAATTTCATTCTCATTTAGAGGTGTAGATCTTCATTAATTTCATCCTTATTCTTTATTTTTTATTTTGTTTTTTAATATAACTTTTATAACATTTTACTCATCTACTAGTCAAGAAAGTGATCCAAAGAGGTGATGAAAAGAATAACGCCAGAGATTAGCGTTAGCGTTTTGAATAAAATTTTAATGGTGCAGATTATTTTGAAAACACTGCCTGTATACAGTCTTTTTTCAAAACGTTAATGCTAATCTCTAACGCTATTCCCAAACAAGCCCTAACACTAGGAAAAGTTGAACTAAAACTTTTAATTAATAAGCAGTAGCAATTTTTTTATAGAATATCTTCTGATTCATCATCACCATCATCCCTCTCATTGTTGAACAAAAGTGTAAGGTAAGGCAGTATCTGAGGGAGAACGTGAAGGTGCATTAAGTTGACGCTCATGAGATCAAAACCGATGCAAATCTTGTGCTTCATGTGGGCCCCAATCTCATCGAACACGGGAAGCTTTGGGTACCGTTGGCTGAAGTGGGTTAGGATGATCCGATACACTCCAGCATCTGCTCCTACCTTGATAGCCTCCCCCATTGTGCTGTGCTCTTTCTTTATCGCATCGCCTACCTTCCCATCCTCGAAAGTAGCCTGCTAAATATGGGTAAACATCACCAAAAAGACAGATATGTGTCTCATCCATGTATGTATTTGTGTGTGTGTGTGTGTTTGTGTGTTTGTGAATGTATATAAAAAAATCTTATTATGTACCATGTTGTTAAATACTTAAATTTACCTCAAATTTCAATGTATAATTTCAAAATATAAAATTATATTCCTTTCACTTATAGATAATTTATTCTATTAATCTATTAATAGATTAATAATTTAATGTGAATAAATAAATTTACCTCGTGTATGAGAAGGGTGGCGCCACGAGAAGCCTCAATGAGCTCAGAGCATGGCCTAGTATCGCCAGAATACACAACCTTCCACCCTTCAATGACCTTTCCAACACTGTTGACTCTCTCTGACGCCTTGATAACCACGCCAAAAGCTGCATTTGATTTCCCACAATGCCTTACTGGGAAGCTGACCAGCTCATCCAAGCCTGCTTCCCCTAGCACCCTCTTCAAGCTCTCGATGATCGGAACTGCCTCCACTTTTCTTGGGAAACCTTCAAGTGTGGTGGGTGTTTCCTTGATGGTATTCCTACAGTCCAGGAAGAGCATGTCGAGGTCTTCCAGTACCTGATATGCATTGAGGTAATTCTCAAGCTGCCAAGGCCCCACCACTATTGTAGGGCTGTGAGGCAACCCTTTAAGTAGATCACGTCGCCGTGTGAGAATTCTTGCCAATCCCGCGTGGTGATCGGCATGAATGTGTGAGATCCATATGCAACTGAGGTCACTCACGGCCTTGTCTGCGCCCATTATCCCGAATCTGCTTCATGTAAAGGCTACTGCTTTATAAGCAAGTTCACAAAAACTCCAACATAGTTTTCAAACATATGAATGAAGCTGTTTAAAGATGTACTCCATCTATCCAGCAAAAATCTTCACGGTTGCTATTTACAGAGTCACTATATCTTCTTTTTTTTTTCAACGCATTTTCAATGATCATTTGTTAAAATAAAATAGTCAATTCATTTTTTTTGTAGAACTTTGACATAGTTTTTTAAATGCATAATTTTTTAAAAAATCTACACCAAATTATCGTAACCCATAAAGTTTTTTTTTGCGGGACAGAGGAATAACTTAGGACTCTTTTCTGTAAGAAAATAAGAGCAAGCAGAGCATTGATTCACTACAGGAACTATAGTTCTGTTTTGCTTTTTGAGAAATAGAAATGAAAAAACAGGGCAACAAACAAGGTGTCTACCACAACAACAATGATAACAACAAACCCAATAAAATCCGAGAGAGAGTGGGTCTTGGGTCTGGGGAGGGTATGTGTGCGTAGACTTTACCCCTACTTGGAGAGTAGAGATGTGTCAACCATACGTATGATTTTCTTGAACTAATAAAGAATATAAGATGTGGTTTCTCTAAGCTATACCTTCTTCTCATCTGGCCGAGGGTTCCTTCCCCACAATCAAGGAGCAAGCCTCCCTTACTGAAGAGGTTGATATATATTGAACTAACATTTCGGTATTTTGATGGCTGAGATGAACCTGTTCCTAGAAGAACAATCTCAAGGTCATCATCCCTTACATTTTCCAAGCAATCAGGAATTTTATACTCAGTTGGCCACATCCCCTCTTGCATAAAACTTTTCTCTGCTGCAATCTCCTTATCTGGGTCACACAGATTCTGGACATCTTCTTTAGCACCTGCAATTTCTGGAATCTCAGTAAGCAATTCCTCTTCTGTCTGAGAGGCAGTCTGCTGACTCGGGATGAAGGATCTGTCCAATCCAATTTTGTGTATAGGTTGTAATTTAAACTGCTCAAAGATGTAAATTACAAGAGGGTCATATAGTAATTAGTGGAAAAGGGAAAGGGCACAGCAACTGTTTGGGTTTGGAAAATCACAAGAAGAGCCCTTCTATTGAAGCTTCTCGTACCTTAAGCATATTTTTGGCAGAAATAATCTCGCTTGAGTTTGGAGTAGAGCCCTGATTAATATGATCCACAATAAGTTACTCGCTCATTATTTATATAGTGAACAAGCATGAGCATTATACACTCTAGACTCTAAACCCATAGCTTATAAGTTATATCAGGTGCAACTACTACTCGTGCAGAAACTTTTCTTACCTCGAGCTGAAGATTTTCGGCCAAGATCATCTTGCTTGAGTTCGGAGAAGAGCCCTGATGAACATGAAGAAAGTCACACACTTCCACTCCACCAAATATATATAATCTATAAATGCAGCAACTAACCTCATTGGAAACAGTGTCAGATTGTGGAAACGATTTTTTGACAGACCAAAAGCCAGGAGCAGGGAAAAACTGAGGGCATAGATAATTCAACCTGGAAGCAATTCTCGCACTCCCTCCTAAAATTGGGATCTCTACATTTTTCCTTCAGACAAAAGAGGCTCAATCCTAAGTAAATTACCAAAGAGGAAATACAACTATGGAAAATGATTTGAAACATTAAAAGGATTTTCCAAATTGATTTACATACTTTTGATGACCAGCTATGATATGCTGGGCGGAACCAAATCTCTTCATCCAAGTCTGATAATCAGGATCATTTATGACAGAGATTGGGCTCAAATGGATCACACAGCTCACAAGTTTTGAAGATCTTTCGCCTGAGAAATCTGAAAAATAGTTTCTCAAAGAATCTTCGAACATTAATTTGTGGAAATGAAATTTGGTAGGGCAATCTACAAGAAGTACTACTGGACCAGGGGTTGGAGGATCCATCACGTCCGTGGGATGTACCTACAGAATTGAAATTGAATCAGAGAGCAGAATTGGAACATGGTCACATTTTCTTCATTTGCCAATTAACTGTTCAGCATTACTTAAAGTATTTCAAACCTCGATATTTAATAGTTTTGAGAAGACTGATTTTCCATTTTTCAGCATGCTGTACTGAGGTCCAGGTTGTATTCCTTTCGCCATGGCTCTATCCGGGTGAAACGTACCCTTCTTTTCTGCCAACTCACAAACGTAAACCACTGACATGTCACCCGGCTTCAGCTCAAGACCGATTCTCTTATTTTCTTCAAGGGATTTGGATGAATCATCTTTGTTTGTTGTCAGAGAACTATCTTCAGGCCAAAGGAGAATAGCCGAAATTTTAACATCAGCATTTTCAATAAGTACACTGTTATCCCTGAATGCTTTTGTGTGGACCATGGCATCATTGGGCACAAAGCAACGCATGGCATCAACCAAGTAATTCAGATCTGAAGGTCCCCATATTTTAACCTTAAGAAGAAAGCAAAAAGTTTTGTCATGAATAAATATTAACTTTATACATATACAAGCATAAAAAAATACAAATAGGCTAATGGAAACAGCCTCTCTACCTGCCTAGATAGGGGTAAGCTCTGAGTACATCTACCTTCCCTCATTTGTGGGATTTCGTAAGGCTGTTGTTGTTGTCCCATGCCTGCCATTGTTAACAACAATCCTGTACATAAAGAATTGTTATTAGCTTACAATGGCAGAGAGCCAGAGATGATGATCACAACTTAGAAGCTTGATTGAAGATAACGAAGAATATATATGATGCAATTTGAAAACCACAAGTGAGATGTGAACCTGGAAGTCCGCCAGCAGTTTCCGAGCACACATGGGAGAACAATATATGATCTATCTAAAGCAACATTTAAAAAAAGGCAGAAGAAAGATTATTTCCGGCTGAAATAAAAATTTCCCAACTGAAGACGGAAAAAACAGATATAAGAATATAGTGTACCTGTGACAACTTAACTTTATACTCCGCGCAGAACCTTTGCAGACCCTGAGAAGAAGATGTTTGTGTTAAATTGCAATAAGGTTACACCCAATTCAAGGACACAAAGTGTGAACCTTTCTTTGTTTACACTTCAAATCCAGAAACAGGAGGTGGCATAGGGAAGAACTCCCTAGCACAAGTATAACCACTCACCTCTCCGGCATTAAAAATATATCTTTGGTGATCAAAGAAAAGTAGGACTGAAGATGATGCATCATGAGTATCCATTCCATTCCCCAGGATCTGCAATCCATAAAAGATATCAAACGAATGCCTTCCAGAAGAAGAACACATGATCCAAAAAATTAACTACACTATCGAAAATACCCCAATAAAAATGAAAACATGACAAGCTTCATAATTTCACTAATTTTACATGCACCAAATCTAAAAGTCCAATATGAAGAGGGTAAGAAGAAGAAGCTCGTGTGAGAAATTCTAATGGATACAGTGCAAAAACCTAAGTTGGGCACAACATTATGCAAATTTGTAATTGGACGCAGACCAAATATTCAATAAAACTCAGATTCTGTAAAACATCAGTGCGGCTGGTTGAGCAACCAAGATGAAGAGTTGAATCAGAGCGAGACGACCCAAATAGGTTTATACCTGGACGAACGAGACTGTACTGCGGCTGATGAGATCGTCTTTAGAGGGCCTCTTGTGAGGGGGGTCCTTCTTCAGCCCGTCCCCCTTCCTCTTCAGCTTCTTTTCCTCCATGCGAGTAGTGTTTGGTCTCTGTGTATGAGCAGGTTTTTCTTTCTGGCGTGCAACAGGGCTTCCGGGGAAGATGAGGCGGCGGCGGTCTGAGAGGAGGGAAGGCTGCGGCTAACCTCCGCCAACTATTCCAAAAGCCGGCCTTTTTTAACAGAATCCGGCCCGACTTGGGTTGCAAAACGCTTAAGAGCTAACTCCCTCCCATTGCCATCATTCTCATATATTATCATTAATTAAAATTTGTGTCGAAAGACAAACACAAAATATTACTCGTATTCTTTAGAAGAGTCAATATCTATATATTTGCATTAGCAATGGTTATTGTGTAACTCATAAACAATTTTAAAAATTAGACCAGATGTCCATTATAACAGTTATGATAATCGGGTAAAATATTGATAATTGTCCGATCACTACTTTTATTAGTTAATGTGTTATTATATACTGAGTATATACTAATACTTTGTACAGTGTAATATTCTAGAATTATATTTAACTGATTAAAATAAGAAAAAAGTAGATGACCAAAACATATTGCTCCATAATACTCCATGAAGTAGGTATAATCCATACTTGGGTTGAACACCAAAAAGGTGACTAGTCGGGAATAGACCGGACAAATATTTAAAATTACTCCATAAATGACATACAAATAACAAGAGTATGACAGGTCAGATCACTCCATGGAGATTACCGGTTAGGTAACTCTAGAAACATGATCAATCGTATATTTGGTCGGGTCATATTTGTCACTTCCAAAAATTTTCATGAAACGAAAAACCTTCAATGTAACCCAGTTTCCACAATCCGTAGACGAGGATGTCTTAATGATCTCAGCCAAGTGAGTCTTCCTTCCAGAGTCTAACTATGGATGTGCTAATGTGACCCATCCTATCATTCACCAGTTTAGATTGGACAGTTAAAGCATTTTGTCACATTTCATGATTTGATAGCAAAATGTTAAAAATTTCTTAATTGTAAGGTAATTAAGGAACTCTCTTGTTAGCCATTAAGTGAACGGTAGTCAATCACCACATGTGACCTTCTCTCTGTAAATAGATTGATGTAGAGAGAAATGATGACATTCAATTTTGCCAATACAATCCACTACAATGTTGAAATAGACTAATAAATACTTTTGGATACATGAAGTCTTTCTCGATCTAAATCATATTTTGTGGTGTTCTTACTTTTTGTTTCAGTCTCGCTTAAATTGTGACAAAGACATGTCTCGCTCTTTCTTACGCAGTTTAATTTACGCTTAATAAATTTTATGTAATATTTGATTATTAAAGAGAATAATATTTCAGGTATAAATGAATCATTTTTATTTATAAATAGAACATAAATAATTTTTCTTTTGAATGGTCTTTAGGGTTTATAAAAAAATAGATACTGAGTACTAAAGAAGCTTAGAAGAAAAAATATAAAATTCCCAAAAAAATAAAATAGAAACACAATATGAAAAAGTATCAAAATGGGTGAATCGGTCGGGTCAATTCTGATCACCTAGTTTGTCGATCTCAGGCCATGTGTTATGGAGTCTTTAAGGGATGTTTGACGGGGTGTAAAGATTTATGATGCAGAGTGATGAAAATAAGTGTTATAATGAGTGTGAAGAAATGCGATATGAATGTGTGTAAAATTTGATTGGTTGAAATAAAGAAAGAAAAATTAGGACAACATCGGGATGACCCTCCCTGCGAGAAAGGGGGCATGGATGCGGTGTGAAGGAGGAGGTCAAGCCATCCCCACCCCACCATAACACATGGTCTAATGGGTTAGGTCTTTTTTTTTAGTAAAATCAAGTTCGACTATTGAATTGGGCTAGACTTTTGTCTAGGTCGCGATCTAACGGGCCGAATCGACAACTTAGTTTTTTTATTACTCTCGATTTTACATTTTAGTCAAGATTTCAAGAAAACTGTTGAGAGTAGATCCGATTACGAAACATCTAACCCGTCCGCAAAATAATAGGCTTACGCATTATATTTTGAAGTGCATGCTAGACTCAGGCTTTAAAGACAAGGCTTATCTAAATGAGATATTCGAGGGATGTGTTTAGACTTTATGTTGTACTTCTCGAGTTCGACCTACTTGAAATAATTATAATAATCACAACAACAACAACAAAAATTTACTCCATTGTCCTAAAATGATTTATGCACTCACTATTTCAAATTTACAGAAACTTTTATTTATTTATGTTTTTTCGTTGATTATCTTATAAAAATACATATTTTTATCACTTTGTATTTTGTAAAATTTATAATGTCATTTTAAATATGTTTTTTATTTCAATACTATTTTTTAAATAAAATAAATTTAAAAAATTTGAGATTTGTCTCCTTTGACTTCCAACTTCCAAGGGCACGTTTGATTTTTAGCATTTAGAATGACTTTTGGTTGTTTTGACTAATTTTAGCACATTTTACTGGTCAAACTGCCAAAAAGGGTGTTTGGTAATTGGTTGCAAGGATTGATTGTTTGAGTCTGAAAAGTCAAAATTCAAAAAGCTGCAGGGAGTAGCATTTCAGTTTGGTGGTTGGAAAATAATTTGTTATTGTATGTAATTTTTATGAATCGATAAAAATAATTATTTATTGCCTAATCAAATAAAATATTGATATATAAATAAAAATTGATAAATAAATAAGTAAAAAAAATAACTAAATAAATAAGTAAATAATATATAAATAAATAAATAGTAAATAAATAAATAGTCCTTCTCCATGTAAAATTCATGAAGCGATTTGCGAGAAAAATTATTTTTTTCTGATTTTTTTTGAGAATTTGGTGTATAAATAAACAACTTTAAGAACTACATCAAAAGTTTTTTGAAAAAAATTTGATACTCCATATAATTATATTATTCTATCAATTGATCGATAAACACACATAAATAAATAAAATCATAATGACTTTTGAACAATATATAGCTTAAAATTTTATTTGAAGAAAGAAAAAATATATATTGCAAATCATGTTATACCATATATAGGTGAAATTTGATTAAATTAAATTTAATTTATAAAACTAATTTTGAAGAAGTTAAGTTTGCCAAACAATTTTTTATCAATAACCAATATCATCAATCGGTCAAAACAACCAAATCAACCTGCCGTTTATTCAAACCAAACAATACAAACACTAAACTGCAAAATTTCAAAATGACCCAAGTATAGCTTGATGGGTTCGATGTTGAATTCTCAAAAAAATAAGGAGTAAAAAGAAAAAACCTCAAGACTGGAAAACCTTAAGCAAAAGGGGAAGATTCTGCCCCCAAGTGCTCCCCACCTTCGTCATTCTGTTCCAGCGATTAGCTCAACGCTTCATAACATACCGATTCACCAAATATTTACATACAATAGATTCGTTCAATTGCAGATCTGAAGAATGGTGAGAGGATTGCTACGCAAGCTCGCCGGACGATCGCTTTCCGTCGCCGGAAAGTGGCAACAGCAACAGCTCCGCCGCCTCAACATCCATGAATACCAAGTATATTGTTTCTGCTCCCTATATATGCCTTTCAATATGATGTTGTTAACTGCGTGAATCTCTCGCTGCCAATGCGTATGGATTCTGTTCGTGTGCTTTTGAGAATCTCATTTTAAACCATATTTGTTTACTTTTTAGAATGAAATTTAGATGTCAAAGGATGCTGTCTGTATTAATGGATTTTAAATTTTTCAAGGGTTAGGGCTGCCTTGAAAGGCTATAACCTAGGGGAGATTTTAATATGCATTTGACATGGGGCCATGTGTTAACAGGGTGCCGAGTTGATGGGGAAGCATGGAATCAATGTCCCACGAGGTGTTGCCATTGGCTCCATTGGAGAAGTGAAGAAGGCAATTCAAGATTTATTCCCCAATCAAAATGAGGTAATTTTGAACAGCCATCTGAATGTTTTTAGAAATATTTTTCACCTGTTCGCACCTGAATAAATTCGAGTGGTTTTGGTTTAAGAGAATTTACAGGATTTGGCATTTTTCTAATATATTCTCAAGTTAGATATTCCTCAAACTGCGACCTTACTGTTTTTATATATACTGCTTATTAAATTTGAGATAAAAGATGATGCCCTTTCTTCTTGTAGATTGTTGTGAAATCTCAAGTGCTTGCTGGTGGAAGGGGCTTGGGAACATTCAAAAATGGATTTCAAGGTGGTGTTCATATTGTGAAGGCTGATCAAGCCGAAGATGTAGCAGGTAATTAATGCTGTTTGTTATATGTGTCAGATGGGTATTTCTTTTTGTTTCCCTTTTTCAGGTAGGAGACCTAGTGCGGTTGCATACTGCCTTTCTTTTAGACTGTTTATTCTTATGTGTGGGTGTTCCTTTTTATGTTTGTTAATGCATTGTTCTTACTTTTTCAAATTGGACGACGCTTCAAGTGAGTGTTGCAGAGATGTGAATTTTTAGTACTGATACCTATATTCATCCCATATTTTTCTTTCAATTTCTCATGTAATCACATTTGTTCTTATATTTCTGTTTTAGAGGAAGGGACACAGAAATCAAAGCTATAAATACACTTACCAGCGATAGTGCAAAATCTTGAAGTACTAAGACCCAATATTTGTTTCATAGCATTTGATAGTCTTCCTGAATCTTTTCCTCGAGGTATATTGGTGGAATTTAGTGAACAAAACTAGATGTCAAGATGCTTGTTTCATTTTTTATCAGGAAAGATGCTTGGGCAGATACTTGTTACTAAACAAACTGGGCCCCAGGGGAAAATTGTCAGCAAGGTTTGACATATATTTCCATATTCAATTTCATGAAAGTTTTACTCCGTAGCATTTTCATATTTCATAATCTTCACAAAATAACAGATACACAGTTAACTCTCAGTGGATCCGCCCGCTCTACTAACAGGCATTTACCTTATTGCCATGTGATATTAGCAGGCTAATACGTTATCCATCTACGGTCTACCATTATAAAGAGAAATAAATGTATCTTGGATTGAAAATGAAGCTGTAGATGCCTCATGTTTTAGGGACTTTTTTGAGATTCAAGAAGTTATATTTGCATCTATTGCAGGTTTATCTGTGTGAAAAACTGTCATTGGTTAATGAGATGTACTTCTCCATTATTCTTGATCGTGCAACTGCTGGTCCTGTACGTAATAAAACAAGCTCCCTTGGCATTTTGTTGATTTATAAAGGATGTTCTGGATAAGTTATTTAATGTTGATTATAATCTAGAGATGGTCACACACGTGTCTCCTTTGCTTTCCTTGCAGCTTATTATTGCCTGCAGAAAGGGAGGAACAAGTATTGAGGACCTGGCTGAAAAGTTTCCTGATATGATTATAAAGGTTCCCCTCAAACCCATTGCATTTAATTTATTTTATTCCCATTATAATTCTGTGTTTACTGATTCCTATTAAATTTCCTTTTTCCTATTAGGTACCTATAGATGTTTTTAAAGGCATTACAGACAGTGATGCAGCAAAGGTTGTTGATGGTTTGGCCCCTAAAGTTGCTGACAGAAACGATTCAATTGAACAAGTGAAGAAGTTGTACAATCTTTTTTGTCAATGTGACTGCACATTATTGGAGGTGTGACCTTTTGATGTTTCTTAAGGATAAATGTTTTCCTTTGCTCTAGCAAATGGTTGTACATATATTTCCTACTGGATTTTAATGTTTGCTTTTTATCAGATCAATCCCCTTGCCGAAACATCTGATAAAAAGTTAGTAGCTGCCGATGCCAAAATGAATTTTGATGATAATGCTGCGTACCGTCAAAAGGAATTATTTTCCCTACGTGATTCATCACAAGAGGATCCCCGTGAGGTATCACCTGCTATTTCTGAACTTTATTGAAACTGAATAATCCACTTTACAGCGTGTTGATTATCCAAAAAGGTATAAATGAATATACACTCATCAGACATGTCTTTTTTTCCTGCTCTGTTTTGGTTTTGTTTGGCTCACAGGTTGCAGCTGCGAAAGCTGACTTGAATTACATTGGCTTAGATGGAGAAATTGGTTGCATGGTAAATGGTGCTGGGCTGGCGATGGCTACTATGGACATAATTAAACTACATGGTGGAACTCCAGCAAACTTCCTTGATGTTGGCGGGAATGCCAGCGAAGGCCAGGTATGTCTTTATCACCAAAGATCATTTGAGATGTCTATTTGTGGTAGTTGGTAAAAGTTGGAAGTCTTGTGAATATGAATTAATACATGCGCAAACACATGCAAAGGAATTGTCTGAAGTTCAGGCATCTTAAAAAGCTAAATCTACCTTTAGGTTGTGGAGGCTTTTAAAATCTTGACCTCAGACGAAAAGGTGAAAGCAATTATGGTGAACATATTTGGAGGAATCATGAAATGCGATGTAATAGCCAGTGGAATAGTAAATGCTGCAAAACAGGTGAGACAAATGTCATGGTTATTTAGTAGGCTCTCATTCATCATAACATACAGTCTATGCACTATTTTGTTTTGGGATCATGTAAGCAGATTTTGGTCATCTAGGCATTTTACTCATTTCTATACTGCTCTGAAATGTTGACTCTTTGGTCATGTTTTCAAGGTTCAACTGAAAGTACCAGTGGTTGTTCGTCTTGAAGGAACTAATGTGGACCAAGGCAAGAGGATTCTCAAGGTACGCCCTTTCTCTTGGAGACCCATTGTCATGAGCTTTTTCATGCAGCAAACTATTATGATCTCATTTTCTTTATATGATGATAAAGTAACATTACTGATTTTGCAATTACTATTTTCCACATAGGTTTTCCACTGTATTTGTACATATGAATGAATTTGTACTTTCTAGTGTTAAATAATTTTAGGCAATTATCGACGCTGAATTTCATGGAACCAACCCTTAGTTAATGTTATATTAACATGTTTGTGTTTGCAGGAAAGTGGCATGAAACTCATCACTGCAGAAGATCTTGACGATGCAGCCGAGAAAGCTGTTAAAGCAGCCTCTAGTAGTTAAATGAATCCCATATCGGCTTATTGCTTGGTGAGTGATTAAATGTCTGAATGCATACAATAACAAACACAACACATTAGGAAAATAGTAATTTGGGTGTGCTTTTCCATGATATTATTTAATAAGCCTAGTTTTTGTTCAACTAATGGTCAATGCCCCCTTTGGTCTGGGCTTTTTTGTCAATGTTCTTGGAATTGCAAAGATGAAAGTTATCTTTTGTGTTCCTCCTTAATTCTTATCAAGGGGAATGACGTCTTATTATTTGAACGTTTAGTTTAGTCTTTTGTACAGTATTTTGTTTGTTCCTTACAACTAAAGTAGAGTCTTAGGGTCCGTTTGGTACATGGAATTGATGGAATTGAAATTAATTGGAAGTTGAAATTCTATGAAATTAATTTGGATGAAATTGAATTCTCCCATTCCAATTCATTTTTTGCTCTACCAATTTCAAATCTACATATTTTTGTACTACCAAACAGTAAAATTAAAATTGTTGTCCTCAATTCCAATTTCATAATTTGAATTTGGTGTACCAAACAGAGCCTTAGAGTGTTTGGGAGGATTTGAAACAGATTAAAGCACATCTCAATATTTCAAAAGCGGTATATTGCTGCTTTTATTGAAATAAAATGGATTTTACTAAATTAGAAGTCATATAGTGAAAAATGGAAGAGTAAATTTCACCGGTGGTTCATAATCATAAAAGTATATACTGTAAATAATACGGAGTACTTATTCTATTCCGAAAAAAACCATTTCATCCAATTAATCACTAATCAATTTTTAATTACTCCCTCTGTCCCATAGGCAAGATTTTTATCATTTTTAAAATTGTTTTAGTTATAAATTAGTGCAAAAGTATAAATTACGCCCTTCAAAATACATAAAATGATCAGTGAAAGCACACAAGCAAAAAAAGTTGTCCGGTGGTTAATTTACACCATCAAGCATGATAGATAAAATTTATAATCATAAAAGCTGCACCTCCAAGCATTATAGATAAAATTCATAATCATAAAAGTATTTTCCACACTGCCTAACTTTTTGATCTTAGCAAACTACTCTAGACTCTGTCTAGTACAGTTCGTCCGGTGGTTAATTTACGCCATCACCTCCCATCACACCCATCACCTAAAGTGTGTTTAATGGTGAGAGGCTTCACGGGAACACCCAATGCTAACCACACTGAGATACACGAAAGCACACGTAGTGCCATGTGGTGAAGTGTCGAAAAACATTCTAGCGGTACAAAAAGAGGGGTCGTGATGATATCATCTACGTACAGTACCAAGTATTTTACCAGGGAATGAGAGAATTCCCACTACCTTTGGTAGGCCAGGTGGTGGGAACGGGCTTCCCAAAAAGCCAGCTCGGTCCGTCTCCTTCATTCTACGGCCCTAAGAGCATTCGCAATGGAGAGTGTCGCACCGCTCGAAAGGGCAGAGTGAGCAGCCGGTTGCCATTGCAGGTAGGGGGGAGCATATCCATCTCCGTGGCACAGGCCTCGATTGAGGCAGGCTGTGGGGTCCTGGCATATGGCCAGCGGCAGCTACCATTACAGGGTTCTGCCACGCCACAGGCCCAAATTTTATTCTTTATTATAATTCTTTTTTTATTATTTTTATTTATTTTATACTTCCTCCGTCGCCAATTTGATTACAAATTGTGGGTTACGGAGTAAAAGTTTCTACCTTTTGAAATCATTTTATTTACTACTCCGTAATTGGTATATCAATAAGATATAAAAATTACATATTAAAAAACTACGTCAAAAGTTCTACTACAAAACAAGAGGTGATAAGAATATTTTATTTTATCAAATACTTCATGAAATCGCGTAAACAAACAAAAGTTATCAAGAGGAGAGAAAGAAAAAATTGTAATCTATTTAGGGACGGAGGGATTATAAGTTTTTAAATAAAATTGATAAATATTGTAAATTAAATAGAAAGACGGGGCGAGAAAACGAATTCCTTGTAATGTTTTGGCTTGTCGCACAAAAAGGGGGAGAAGCAGGAGCGCGCGCATCCCAAATGCTCTAGTCTTGAGTTGGCAAAGCCAGCCAGGAGTATGTGACGTAGAGAAAAGACAAAATCTTGATCCTTGTGGACTAAGAAAAGAAATATGGAGTATTTGAATTAAAAAGCACTACTAAATACGAGTAGTATTTAAACTTTTTTATTTCTTAAATAGTACTTAATAATGTCCAGAAGCAGGAATAATGTCTAGTGATGGCGAACATTTACTTGAATAATGACTAATGGATAATGACTAAAAGTGCTACATTGAGAAAAAACACATATGATGCTATTTAGAGAAAGTCATTATATTTAAGTGCTATTTAAGTAAATTCTTTCAAAAAAATTCCTATGAGAATGGATCTTGTGGATAGAAATGAGAATGATTCATTTTTCTTCGCTCATGTTGCATTTTTCTACGCAGCTAGTGCATTTTACAAAGTTCAATTAAATTACGAAACTGCCACCATTTTTTTTTGAATTTTTCTTATTTTTGAAATTTTTATGGCCTTTAGATCTCACATTCCAAAGCACGGCATGCATTCTCATTTCTCTCCTAAGATCTCATTTCACCAGAACTATATATATATATATATAGACACACACACATATATATATATACCCACACTGCCAATGGCACACAGAGCACTATAATCTCTCTCTCTCTCTCTCTCTCTGGACTTGTGCAGGCGGAGAATATAATAATGGATTTCAGAGGCAGCAAGTTGGAGAAGACGACGAAGCCAGCCATAGTAAGAAGAGGGGCGGTGAAGATCAGAGCTCTGAAGCAACTCTTCACTCTAATGGCTTCGGCCTGCGCCGAGGTCGCCAGGATGATGATTATCCTCTGCTGCCGCCTTCCGCCTGCCCCGGTCGCTCCAGCTGGGGCCGCCGGCGGCTTCGGGTCAGAGGATCATCAATCTTCTTCTTCTTGATATATATAAAGTTTCTTCGTTCTTCTTCTCCCGTCCTCATTTCGCTGAATTTTCCTACGTTGACTTAGCTTCTCAGACCAGACACGTACTGTGCCACCACTTTTTTTTTTTTTTTTTTTTGAAAGTAAGTGCCACCACTTAATTAGCTTATATAGTACGCACACACAGACGACACACACTGTTGTAGTATCTTCCATTTTGTGGTATGTATGGTAGCTTCAAAATTCTTTTTTGTTTACACTACAAATAAGTGATGAGTACTTATGTTATTTATTTGGTGATAGATTTATGACTTGTTCCGAGTGTGTGAAACCAGTTGATTTACCTACTGTGTTAATTACGTGTGCATACAGAAGAGTGTTTTTATATGGGAGAGAATGTGAGAGTGAATAATATACTCTGGCGACCTATGTTGAGACTTTCTTTTTTTAAATGCTTGAAATGAAAGTCAAGAATAAAGAAGACTCTGACCTCTGTTGAGATTATTATCTTTTAAATGCCTTGAAATTAAAGTCAGGAATAAAGAAAAACTGCTTTGCTAAATTTTATTTTACGTCTGTTCTTTTCACCTGATCTGATTAGTTCTGATTTAATTATCATGAGTTTAAATCTGGTCTGATATGATTGTGGTTATATTTAATAATTATTTCTGATCCGGTCTCATCTCAACTGATTCTAATAAATTGAAGGAAATAAAGTTTTACATGATTCTTTTGAAGTGATTATTAGTTTCTTAACCCCAAAGCCCAAACTCTCCTCCCAGCCCGTCCCTTGTATACCCCAAATTCTGGTCAAAATTGAGGGGTTAGGGGATTGGCCAAAATGTTAATCATTTCGATGTGAGATTGGGGGGCTGTAGAGCGAAGTTTAGAGAGTAGAAATCATTTCAAGTGTCGAACAACTAGCATCGCAGAGACATCACCTTATTATAAGGAGTATTAGAGAGTATGGCATAATTGGCATTGCACTCCGTGTCTCAAAAGAGTTGGCATTGTAGAAAAAGAAAATACTCCGTATTCATATGTAAGCCTATAAAAATGTGAAAATGTCTATATTTTAAATGTGGACCACTCTTTCAAAAAAGCATCATATCTTTAATTGTTGAGATTTCAAAATTGTCGTTTAAGATATTTTAAAATTATTTTAGCAACATGAAGTGTAGGGTGGGGTAGAGGGGGGAAGAGGTAGGGGTGAATGATGCAAGTTGATGAGTGGCAGAGGACGGTGGGGTAGGGGATTAGGGGTAGGGAGCCGGTGTGTGTGGGGTGGTACGGGGGTGGAAAGGTGGGGTGGGTGTAGACTAGGAGAGTAGGGTAGGAGAGGGTGTGGTGTAAGATCAGATTAGATTAGACCATATCAGATCAAATTTAGTTGACTTTAGAGTCAAATTTTTGAACTCAAAGTCAACAAAATATCAGATCGGATCAGATGAGATTAGACCATATCAGATCAGACCATATCAGAATTTATTCCAATCAGATCAAAACCAGTCGTATCAATGAAGAGAATATGGCCTTAATTCTTATGGTGATGTGTACGGCCTTGAATTAGTTCTTACTCCCTAATGCTTTCCTTGAACCCCGCATCCCGCCCCCACCTCCAATTCAAATTTTTTATTGATGCTCCGATCAACAATTTTGACTACAATGGCTCAAAAAATTGGGAGATGCGATTAGAGGTTGCATCAGTGCCAAAACTCAAAAGAAATGAACTGTGACCGTTCGACCGGGTCTGAGGGGGCCCTCGAGAATGGAGGTCATCCTTTCAAAAGAACTGAACTGTAGCAAAAAATAGTTGTACGCATATTCTTTTTATTGAAAAGAAATGGAAAATGTCGCTTTATGGCTGGAGGGATGAAGTACTACCCGGAGTATTTAACAAAAAGTATAAGGTAATCCTGTATTTCGTACTCCATATCTAAGTGGGATCTTCCACCTTGACTTTATGTCTGTTTCAAACTTCAAAGTACTTGTCGAATCTTTATTTCAGAAAGAGAAATGAGATTCACATGTTCCTTCGTTTTTAAAACAAATTTATATAATAATTTTTAAACTTTTAAATCTCCACTAGGTACAAGTTGGAAACCCCTAACGGGATGAAGGGGTTTTACCATGAACTTTTCTTACATCTTCCCTCTGGATTAATGAACTTACCTCCGAAACATTAGAACTTGATGACTTGTTTAGGTTGGCTTCCTCTCTTTCCCAGTGCCTTATCCAAAGCCGAATGAAAATCGTCAAACGGTACAACCTCCATCCTGCATCATAACATTTGCCAATTAATCTTAAATTGGCGATTTTTGCATTTCCATCTTAATGTTCTTTCTTGTAACGGGAAGGGCATCTGGCGTAAAACATTGCCAATCATTGCTTGCATGCATTTATAGTGATAGATAAGTTTATACAATTAGAGCTGTTTAGTTCATTCCTCAATTGGTGAAAGGAAATCAAGAGCACGTACTCATATGTCAATTTCTCATCACGAGCTAGGCCCAAAAGATAATCTATCATGCCATGGCACTCTTCCGCTTTATCTGAACTTAACCACTTTTGGAGCCAAAACCCTCTCAACGAGAGCTCCTGCAAACATGCCATGAAAAATATTTCTATGAAAAATGCATTTTTTTCCCAAGTTCTGAGCAGCTTCGAAGAATTGGAACAAGAACTATCCCATCAGTATCCTTACACAGCACGCTACCAAGAGACTAAAGAACTAGGTATGTATGGCTAAGCTTTAGCTTCATGTTTACTGGATCAGGATTCAGAAGTAACCCCACATTTGTTCACCTTAATATGCTCAGGCAGACGGGATAGCCCAATTAAAGAGTCATAAGTAGATACAAAATCAAATCTTGAAAAATTTAACTTAACACAAAGCAACAAGGTGGTAACTGCTTGTTCATAACCAGTTCATAAAACTGAATACCTCTACATCACTATCAAAGCATACCTTAAATATAAATGAACTTGTCGGTACTGTTACGGGTTTCTTTGACATGCCCCCATAAGTAACCATAGTTCCACCCTGCCTGAAAAGAACACCTTAACCTTTGATATCTGGAAAAGAAATGATCAATTTTGGAATGCTATTCACCTCAAGAATTTAAGGACCAGGGAAGCAGCATTCCCACCAACACAGTTAAGGCCCAAAGCCGGTTCGGGTATACTGCCCTATAACACATATGTGATCATTGTAATACAGAGCAGTATATTATTCAGTGACGTTGAGAAAATGTAATTATAGTATTATACAAAGGGAATATCTATACGATACAGATAAAATACCTAAATAGTGAAGCTACAGGATTCAGTTGTCACATACCAGAAGAGTTTTGACATTTTTCACATCAAGTTGGCTCTCGGTGAATACTTCATCAGCACCAAGTTTTATAAGTTTTTCTCTTGCTTCGTCTGATTCGGCCCTGCTCGAATCATTTAAATGAAGGAGAAATAATGCAAAAAATAAGGCATTCCTGATAAGTTTAGAATAAAAATGGATGTTAATTCAAATAAATACCTATCTCGAATGATGTTAAGACTGCGAATGCCTCGAACTCGAGCAAGTTGAATAACACATTGTCCCACAATACTTGTGGCGCCATTTTGCACAATAGAATCACCTACATGCACATAAATCAGATAAGGGATATTGTAGGAAGAGCAGTGGTACCTGATGAAAAATAGCAATACCTGATTTTAAAGCCACAAAGTCCTCAAGCATTCTCAATGCCGTCAATGGATTGACAATTACAGTGGCAGCATATTCCATCGGTGTGTTCTTGTCAATTTTGTACCAGAGACTTTGATCTTTTACAACATAAGTCTGCCATGTACCTATTAAAAGGAAACATGACAAAATTTTCATGCGTATATCAGCAAAGGCTGTGTAAAACTTATGCACTACTTTTTACGTGAATCTACGGTACAACAAAAACAACAAAAAACCCAGCAAAAACCCAACTCCATTGTGGTCTCATGGGGCAAGATGCACACAACTTTACCCCTGTATAAACCGGAGAGGTTGCTTCCGGTTTACCCTTGATGCATTGCCGCATTTGCTGCCCAAAACTTCATAGGAAGTAAGAAGCAAAGGAAATTTAATGTGCCACTTTGATCATGTTGACCCCAGATAATTAATAAACCCTAGAAATATCATGCCACCAATGACCAACCCCAACATAGCTGTAACGTGGTGGAATTATGATTATGTTGTTGAATATTGGGGCTAGGGATGAGATTTCAAGAGGTTAGAGTTTAGAGAGTATACTCCGTAGTATAAATGTTGTTGTAATACTCCACAATACAGAAAAAACAATTGCACATATGCAAAGTTACATGCCAGAAAGAATATCATAAAACCGCATCTTAAATTTATAATAGCGTAAATGAAAGGTCATACCTGAAGTTGGAGGAAAGGCAATAACCCAATCTCGGGGGGAAAGAGACTTCACTGCAGCACCTATAGCATGTACCTCTCCAACTCCTTCATATCCTCCAACCGCTGGTAGTGTTGGCCGGACAGGATACACTCCTATGGCAATAGTTTAGACTTTTAGTATATATTTCTCCATCGGTCTCACTGGATTCTTTACAGTTGTTATTCAAAAGTCAAACTAAACTTTTTTTCTCTACATACTTTTCTCTATCATTTGATGAAATAATATAGTGATGTCACCTCTTTTTCGTACCAGAGTAAATCTTTTGTTGTAGTTTTTGAACTTATATACTCTCTCTGTCCAAATTTAGCTGTTAACCTTGTAACTTTTGTTTGTCCAGAATTAGTTGTCCAGTTTCCATATTCAATAAAGTAATTATGATGAATAACTTTAACTATCCTAGAAACAGAGTAGGAGCATTGTAACTTATTTGACATTTAAACTCACCTCTTAAAAATCAGAATTTTAAAAAGTGGAAAATCATTTCCAAAAGGAGGGAGTAAATTAAATATGTTTTAATTTTACATCAATATTTAAACAAAATGAATAGAAAATAGCATCAATCAAGGTGTTTCAAGAATCCAATGGGACGGAGAAAGTATTACATTATAAAACAAGATATTAACACTTGAATCATTGATGTATCATACAATATTTACTATAAGACTGTATGAAGAATATGAAATTCCCCCTCACGTGCAGGCATAACCCTTCAAGCCTTGCACGTGAAACCTTAACTTTAAAAAAAATTGACTTGCAGTGAGTTTCAATCTCGTGACCTCTTGGTCAACAAGGCTTTGATACAATGTCAATGAACCAACTCAACCAAAAGCTCATGCTAGTGGTTGTAGGCCCAAGAAAGGTTTTTATATTCCAATATAATGGGATTTGTTGGTGGTCCAGGCAAGGACCTTATGCAAAGCATACCCACACTCCTCGCCATGAGTAGAACTCGACCAAAATGTCCTTTTTACCCCGTATTGACTACTTGAGCTACACCCCGCGCTAACCGAACACATTCTCTAATACACTGAAGAACAAAGGGTGCAATGTAATTTTGGAGGAACACTTTTAGAGATAGATGTGTACAATCCATGCTTTTTTTGATGCCTATTTAATCTTGTTAGTCCATCACGGGTAGTTCCAAAGCCATGTGCACAAAAGGATTTTAGCTGGTGTAGCCGTGTAGGGTTCTGGTCGTACAGAGTACAGACCCCAATGTACAGTAAACACGTGCATGACATTCAATATGACTGGTGAAAGACTATGAAAGTCTCGACAAGTTAGCCCGGGACGTAGCTCAAGTGGTCAAGAGGGGGTGCAAAAGAGCACTGTGGCCGGGTTTGACTCTTGGCGAAGGCAGTGTGTGGCCTTTTGTGCTTTGCATAAAGGTCTTTGCTGGGCATATCTCATTCCATATTGCTCGCTTGAGATTAGAGAGCCCTCCTCCTCGGGTAACTGTTCAGGCCTGAGGAGAGCCTAAGATGTGTTCATCTTTTTTGGGAACTGCACCCTTGGAATTAAGTCTATGAGTATTGAGTCTAAATTGAAATTAATCAAATCCAATTGACAAACACTTGGAGGAAACTATATTCATACGATGAAGCTCCTAAATGCAGGAAACATTCTTCAAAGAATTTAAGATTAAGAAACGAAGATAAATATAATGATAATAACCTTCTATTCTGTTAATATCCGAGGGATTAATGGGAGCTGCAAGCATTCGAACGCATACTTCATTGTCTTTTATTTCAACAGGCGGAAGCTCAGCCATTCTGCAATCCAAGCAAATCATTTGGAGAAAGTTTTAAATCTAAACACAGTATAAGATGCATTCTCTGTATTACAACAAATTCAGGTAAAACCAGCTGAAATTTGTCATTATAATTTGGAACTAATTGAACATTGTAGACAGAGAAGTAGGACCTGGTGACAGAATCCGGAGGGCCTTGGTGATCGTAGACAATGGCCTTTGACGGCGGAGACATGGCCGCCGAAAACGCTCGGACTGCGGAGGTCACGACGCGAGGACTGAGAGAGCACCGCCATAACTGAGGCGGCGATTCCGGAGCTCGTATGAGGCATTTAATGGAATGACATCCAATTCTTGCCATCAGCGTGTGAATTTCCTCTGCTTTTAGATGAGGATAGATTTTTGAGCAGTATAGAGTAAAACTAGAGAGAAGAAGAGGAATAGAGAGAGTATTTTCAAAAAATTTATCAGTGCACATAAAAAAGTTTTGGTATTGTGAATGGCAAGGTGTTTAGTTCGTATTGATACAGTACAAAATATATTAGTTCGGTCTGAGATTTTACATTGTAACAATCCCGATCTCAGAGCATCGGTTCGATATGATTCGATATCGGTTTGAGTACGAATCGTGATAAATATATGCGTACCCGGTTTACACCATAAATGTAACAAAAGCTTTTTTCTTCATTACTTGCACGTAATGAAAAAAGATTACTCCCTCCGTCCGGATTTGAAGTACCCATTTTGACTTTTGGTCATTTTTATTGGGTATTGACTTTGTGTGTAAATGGTCTAAAACACCCCTGCGGCCCTGCCCTTCACCGACCATTTCACTCACCCAACACCGCACCTTTCTCCTACTACCTTCGTCAACACCAATCGCCGCCCCTTCTTCTTTCTCTCTTTTTGTTTTCTTCTTCTCAAAATCGGCGGCTACACCCCGATTCTCTTCGCTGTTTTGTTTTCTTCTTCTCAAAATCGGCGGCTACACCCCGATTCTCTTTGCTGCCCTGCTACTTCTTCCTTCTCGGAGACTAACCACACCTACTCCCCGAAATCGAATGACCCAATCGAGTGACGAGAGAGAGAAAGAAGAAGTAGATCTAAGGAGACCAAGAGAGAAAGAAGAAGTAGATCTAAGGAGACCAAGAGAGAAAGAAGAAGTAGATCTAAGGAGATTTTGAGAAGAAGAAAACAAAAAGAAGAGGAGAAATAATTGGGATTGAAGAGGAGGAGGAGAAAGAAATAAACCAGTGGACAATGGAAGAGTGCAAATCCGAGAAAAAAGAAAGAAAAAGAGATAAGGGATTAGGAATTGAAAATGAAGGGAGAAAGAAAAAGGAAGAAGAAAGAAGGGGGGAAGGGTATTTTAAGAAGAGTGGGTTAGAAAACGTATAATGGGAACTTTATTTCCGGACGGAGAAAAGCGTAGAGTGGGAACTTAAAATCCGGACGGAGGGAGTATTATTTTTATAATATATTAGTATATATATTCAATTCAGGAATTTTGGTATGGGAAGTAACCTCATACCGTTCTCAAATACCATACCGACCATTCAGTTCGGTACGATTCAGGCATTTTGCGATACTTCATCGGTTCAGTATTTTTCAGTTCGGCATTCTCGGTTTTTTCAGGAAATATCGGGATCAGTTTGGTCCTTGCTCACCCCTGGTCTTTGGGTGGCCCCACAATCTGGCCGGATAGGGTTGTGCTTGCACTAATCCATCATTGCAGGAACACAACAAACCCAGCTTCACTACACTTTTTTGTATAGGTCTCAAGAAGCTCAAATCTAGCTTCTCTAGCCAAAATGTCAAGGATAAGTGTAGTTATTTAATTTAGTATCCCCTACACTTTCTAAACATTATATTTATATTATAGAAATATTTTATAAAATGTTTAAACAAAAACTCTATGCCAAGGATCGAAATCAAATTTTAAAAGTGACTTTTTAGTGCTGAAATGCATGTGACGATATGTCGCTACCTGTCATGGTAGGTAACTACCGTATGGTTTAGTTCTTGCGAAAAAATTCCAGTCGCAGATGTCTGTGGCGGTAGGAACCTACCGTGCAACAGTTTTTGGTTACTGTCTGACCATTAGAGGTATGATTTTGAATTTTAATCACCTTTGACCAATCTTAATAACATCAAACGGTCATTAACATTAATATCTCAATTTTTCTACACTTAAATACTATAAATATCCCTTCTAAGCTCTTTCAAACACACAACCAAGTGCTATATCATCTTAATACATTCTTGAATACTCTCTTGCCCATTTTGTATGTTTTTAGTCGTTGCTCTTATATTCTTTTATATTTATTTTAATTTTGAGCTTTGATTTTTCAACTTACACATATCACACACAAATGAGAAATTAATGTTGATACCTACACTTTCATCCATAGGTTCTTGTAATTTTGAGTTTTGATTATATTCTCTGCTAATATTTGGTTATATTCTTTTGAGATAGAAATAGTTTCATATCACTTTCTAATATTTTGTTAAATGTCAAGGATATCTTAAAATTCTAATTGTAAAGGTTGAAGATAGCCTTTAAAATCTTCATGTTGTAATTGACTGGGATAGTCGTTGTTAAATCCTACTTATTGGGAAGGGGTGGGGGGTGTGTTGGATCGGGCGGGATAGGGAAGGATTTACCAGAGGATTAGGGGTATGAATCATTAATTTTACTAACAAAGCATCATAGAGCTCTTGGATCATCCAATAACATGGAATTCAAATGTCATAGAAACTCATCCCATATATAAATTGATTATATGCATCAGACTTTGTAAAATGAAAGAAATCTAATCATAAGCTCATAAAAATATGTGAAAATATCCATATTCTTACAAGTAAATTTTAGAATACAACTTTTCTAAGAAAAATAATGAAGAATTATTTTGAGACCATCTAAAAAATAGAGAGTTCAATTCAAAATGAAAGGGCTAAAAGTAAGAGATTTGGGAGCAAAATACAAAAAGATGGGTTGAGCAAGTTCCGTTTCTCTTTCCCCATCTTCTTCCTTCTCCTTCTCTCCTAAGCCAATCCAAAACTAGGACAAAGGTTTGCAAAAACTCTTCTTTACATTCTCGCGCTCCTATCTCTTTCCTTTCCATTTCGCGATTTGAGGAACAGGGGAAATGAGACAAAGAGAGAGACACACACATATATATAGAGAATCACTTGATTTATATATACAAATATAGAAATTGAGGCGCGCTGTGTATAAGACGGGGGTAAGGTAAAACAGGCATGGGCTTTTTCCCTTGTTGTGGCGATTCATCCACCGCCAAGAGAGAAGACCGAAAGAGAAGCGCCGCCGCCAAAAGGACGGAGCACAAGAAGGACGAAATTGCGCAGCCGGCCTCCGGTACGATTTGATCTTCCGTGAACGCCCTATTTCGTATGCAGCCTGCCTTCTGGGTGTTTTGTTTTTTTTCTCGCATTTTGTTTTTTCAATTTGGGGTTTCTTGAAATTTAACGGATTATTTGTTCCGGCAAGATATTGATTTTGTTCAATTTGTGTTGCCCCCATCGTTTCGGATTTTTTTGATGGTTTAGTTTGAAATTCCGTCTGATCATCACTTTCTTTGAAGAAAACTGTGATCTGTATGCGGCCTGGAACTCAATTTTTATAATTGAATGCTGCCTTTTCCGACATTCAAAACAAGAACTTATTTTGTGGTGCAACTTTGTTAAGCTATGATTCTTTATTTTTTTTGTTCAATTTGGAAGTTTTGAATGGTTTTATTTGTCTATGGTGTTAATGTGTATTTATTGACTGTCATCAGACATCACTGTGATCTTCCTTAATGTTCATGGAAATAGCCTTCAGGTTTCACTTTGGTTGTTCTTCATAGTTTTATTTTAGTTCAAATTCAAACTATGATTACGAATACTTGTTGATTAAAGGCTTGATAGTTGATAATCTGCATTTGTGTAGGTTCACTGCCCCATTGAGTTTTGGGTAAGTTTTAATCTTGACTTCCATTATCTGGGAAGAGCCTTTCCCAAGTACACAATGAATTACCCATAGGATGTTCTCTACATCTTTTCTTGAGATTTTAGTTCAAGGCTCTCTGCAGCTACATTTTTGAGGATCATATGGGATATGATCCTTTTCTTTAGACTGCTATTGGCGTGCTCTTATGTGTCTATTTTCTACTATTTTTCATTCAAATGCGCCAATCTTTTTCACGTCTTATGTGGAGACTTTGTTGTGCTTGTGGTTTAGATACACCAACAAGGGTTAGCCCTTGCCAAGGTGGGAAGAAGGAGGAATGCAATGATGCAGCAAATCAATCTACTTCGGGCAAGGACGAGGATTGCAATCAAAGGAAGTCTGGAGGAGGAGGAGAAACAGAAACGGGCAAGGCGAGGACGTTTACCTTTGCTGATCTCGTGGCTGCCACAGAAAACTTCAAGCAAGAATTCTTTTTGGGTGAAGGAGGATTTGGCAAAGTCTTTAAAGGTCGACTGGTAGATACTGGCCAGGTTGGTTTATGTGATTTCAGTTTGGGTGTGCTTGGATAAAGGGTTTTGGAAGGGAAGGCTTTGCTAGACTTAGTTTATATCTTGATAATTGTAGTTGATTAGAAAATAGAAAAATAAAAAGAAGTAAAAAAAAAATTTCTCGATTTAGCTAGAGTGCTAGACATATAAGAGTCTAAGACTGATAAGTAGATATAAATTAGTAAAACTAAAATTGAATTAATCCTCCATTTCCCCCCCCCCCC